TTACTTTCTAATAAGTACTTTAACTCAGATAGGTGGATCGTGAACCTTACTTTCTAATAAGTACTTTAACTCAGATAGGTGGATATGGCAAGATAATTCCCTCCAAGGAATAGTTCTCGTCAGAAGTTAATTCTAGAATTAATTTTGTACTTTGATTTAAATATTTTCATCACGTTTACATCATTCGTTTTCTTTCCTTCTTATCACAAATTCGTCCTATCATTTACTTCAAATATATTTTATCCAGGTATTACTGTGTCACACCAACCAAAGCAATACAATATGGATCATCAGTGGGGCGGTACGTTTTATTCAGACTTACGTTAGACGTGTACTTCCCTTCATGATGTTACTTTGTTAACTTCTTTACACGCGACTTAACTGAAGGCTACATTATGACATGGACTCCCATCTCAGGAGCTCAGAATTTTTTGCCGAGTTTCCTGTCTCCGTACTAATATCTCCTATATAATTATTTTTTCTAGGTTCCCATGAAATTGTCAGCAATAAACTCTCATATTGTTATTGGATTTCGACAGTCCTTGAATGACGAAGCAGCAGCGAGGGACCTTGTTGCTAATATTACGAATCATCTAGCAGGGAGCAAAGATCCTTCATTGGGAGACTACGAGGTATGGAAAACATAAAGATCTGCGACTTGAAGTAGTGAAAAGAGAATAGACCCCTTGCATGTGACGACAAAGCAGCTAAATTTTGAGGACCCCCCTTGTATCTGAAATCAAAGCAGCTTAATTTGGAGGACAAAACAAAATCTCAAGAGAATTGGAAACCTATTGTTATGGCCTCCAAATTGAGCTGCATTCCGACGTGCTGCAAGGGAAATAATAACAGATAGAAAATAAAGAAGATAGGGAAAAGGGTATCTGATGGATAATAGGAATGCATATGCAGAGATATTTTTATGAATATATTTGCGGAGATATTTTTTTCAGTAAAACGTTCATTAAAAACGTTTTTTGTGCTCATATTTAGGAAGATGTGGCCTTAGCATCTGATGCTGTTCTTGTTGCCATGGACGCCATCAGGAAACAAATAGCGGACGGTTTTTGGACTCGGGGAAACTCCAGCAAGACCGTCACGAAAAGAGGATCAATACTGAATAAGTACATTAGTAAGGTAAACGTATCCGTGATATGCCCAGTTGCATTTGGTAATATAAGAGAGCGAAGCAGGGTTCACTGATTCGCTGTTTTCGGAAGATTTTCGAATTCAAGTCGCTAAAGTTTCGGGTTTCATTTGGCGAATATAAATTAAAGCCCACTAATCCAAACTGGAGTAACTTTAGTCATTTGACAATTCTATCCCCCACAGGGACATTTTTAGCATACTACGACAAGATAGAAACAAAATCCTTCGCCAATTTCCTTTATTATTCTTATTGTATTTCTTATTTATATTCTTATTTCCTTTACGAGAATTCCCATTTATATCTCCTTTGTTGTAGGTCAGTACTCGAGGAATGACAGGATCGATTGCGTTTGACGAAAAGGGAAGAAGAAAAGACGTCCAATTTGACGTGTTAAACCTTCGCAATAATTTATTTGTGAAGGTAATCTTTGAATAATTCTAATAAAATTTTTCAAAGTGGTGCCTTTTCAAGGAGAAAGGACGCTTGCCCTGTTTGCATGTCCTATTTTAAATTATAGTTTTCTGGTCACCATTTTGGATAAATTTAATTGTTTGTTGAACTATATCAACCAATATCCACATTGACTGTCTTTTAGAGGCTGCTGAGGCAAGAAAACAGTCACTGACTCAACACTAAATCTTTCTCAACGAACTCCTTGTTTTTTTAGACTGGTTCTTACGATAGGACTCAGCCTCTGTCAAGAAGGCTGCACTTGACAGATAACTTAGAGCAAAATAGTGAAGAGAATAAGACAAATCATGGGAGACTAGAAGGATCAAAGCTAAAGGTTGTCACTGTATTGGTAAGTGTTTGCCTCATCTGTGGCTTCGATGATATCAGTCAGGGTTATTTGATATTCATGCAACGAGCATAGGTAGACCAATGTAGGTTTTGCACCATCACATAATGGCAGCCATGACAGAAAGCAGTAAGAATTGAATCTGGTCTAATCTGTTTTCCGTGAGAAAGAATTCAATATCCCAGGGAAAAAGATTTTTGTGCCTCCTGTCATGGGCGCCAGGTCTATAGAGGTGTTTGGACAATCATTTTGTTAAATGGTACAATCGTTTTACATCAAAAAGAATTTAATTCCCAAGAGTAAGGAGTTTAATATTTCTGCAAAACCGGTATTACGAAAAGCTAAAAGAAATTCTATTTAAGATCCAGGCATGGAGCCTTGCGAAATCCAAATTTACTGTAACCTGCATTAATGTTGTTTTAACCGTACCAGGAAACACCATTCGTGATGAAAACAAATAAGTCAGATGGCAGCTTTGTGTATGAAGGTTACGCCATTGACCTTTTAAAGGAGATTGCTAAACAACATAAGTTCATATACGAGATCTACGAATCCCCTGATGGTATGTATGGAGCTGAAGAGAATGGGAGATGGAATGGTGCCATCAAAGAATTGCTAGACGGGGTACGTTGGAGTAATCATTTTCTTTATACAAGAATCAATGTCGATGTTTTTAAAGGTTTTCAAATTCTTAAATGCGTTTTGTCATAGGCTTGATAACATCAATCGAATATTGATGGTATGCTCTTATGTATATTCCCCACCTACTATACGTCACCATCACCATCACTTCCATCACCATCACCACAGCCACCATAATCATATACCGTCATCATCACCATTGCCATTGCCATTGCCATTGCCATTGCCATTGCCATTGCCATTGCCATTGAACAATAAGGTTCACAAAAAAATAATCGGTAGATGGAGCGAGTGCAAACCTTACTTCATTGCATTGTTTCTCCTTCTTATTCCAGAATGCCGATATAGCTGTCACTGCGTTAACAATTACTGAAGCACGCGAAAAAGTAGTGGACTTCACAGCATCTTACGAATATTACACAGAAGATCTGTTGATAAAAAAAGACACGTCAAAAGAAGGACTAGACTTGATGCATTTTCTCTCTCCCTTTACGATTGAAAATTGGACTGCAGTGTTATTGGTTTTGCTTTTGGTGGCTACTGTTCTATACTCCGTGAACTTCTGTAGTCCCTATGGAATGAAAAATGAGGGAGGATCTGGCACGGCTCCGGAGTTTTGCCTATCAAATTGTATGTGGTTTTCTGTAGCTTGTATGTTACAACAAGGCGCCGATTATCAACCAAAGCCTACGTCAGGTACATTTAAGTCTAGTATAGTCTCCAAAGAATTAAAATTCATCGAAAACTTGTGAAAACCAGTGAATATTTGAATACCCTGTCGGTGCATTTCCACATTTCTACACGCAGTGAAACGAAATAACCGAAACTTGTTCTCAGTGGGGTAATAGAGTTTTCTTCATATTCATTTCTTTTAAAAATACCTAAACAACGCTGCGCCATTCAGGGTAAACCTTAGTTGGAGAGTTGACAAGGTTTGTTATTTCATTATTCATAATAGTGAATGTCCGTGATAGTGAGACCATAGTTCCTTTCGGTCCGATCGTGCAACTGCCAATCACCGCTTTCCATATCGCCGTTCGCCCCTTAAATTTTCTTTTCGAAATAGCTGTGCACTTTTTTCTTGTTTCAGCTCGAATCCTGGCCGGCAGTTTTTGGTTTTACGTTTTAGTCTGGGTTGCAACTTACACTGCTTATTTGGCTGCCACCTTTACTGTCGATCAACGCCTTCATTCTATCAATAGTCTGGAAGGAGCAATCGACTCAGGGCGTAAATTTACTTTTCTTAATGGTTCAAATGTGTACTCGTTCTTTCGGGATACAGACTTTCCATTGTACAAGAAGGTAAGACCTGTGATTCTCGTTTCTCTTTTCGATATTTGAAGGAGAACTAGGCAGGCAGGCAGGCAGACAGGCAGGCAGGCAGACAGGCAGGCAGGCAGGCGCGCCTAAATAAGCTTTCATGCAAAGCGATTAACCTCGGCTTTATTTGAATTACATAAGGTTTGGGAACGCATGATTATCAGTTCTTCTACTGCGGATGCTGTCAAGCTTGTCCGACAGAATAATGCTATTTACATATCTGGAGGAACTATTTCGGAATACACTGCCGGAAAAAATCCATGCGATCTAAGACTAGGTAAGACTGATGAGGGGGTCACTCTCCACCAAAACACATGCACTCTAGAATCCGCTGAATACACGAGGGGTCCTTCTCCAATCGCCTCGACAAATCATCCGGCTTCCCTATCCTCCCCCAAAACACATGTACGATTGACTTATTGACTGCTAATGGAAGGTGAGTTATAGACACCCTGTGATACCCTAAGTACACTCGACACCCACGACATACATAATCTTTCTGCAAAAACAGTGCAAATAGAAACCAAACAGGCATTTTTTGAATGTAGTACCAGTTGTCAGCACATCTTTGGACGACAGTCTTTTTCATCCAGAAAAACAATAGCTACAGTAAAAATCAATATTTTTGATACACCCATAATGCTCCCAAAATTGATTGACGTTTACCGTACTCTCTCCCCCTCCCCTAGTATGTAGAGGGGTTTTCCTTCTACATACTATTTTTAGAGTAATGTATCAACAACACTTTTACTGTAGCTATCGATCAAGAATTCCAAATGAGCTTTTAAGAAATTCTGAATAAGCTTTTCTTCTTCTCAGTTCCAGGTCTTACAACCCCTGAGGGCATGGGGTTTGCTTTAAAGTCAGGAGACCCCAGACTTGATAACATGACACTCTCTATTCTTTACCTACGGGACAATGGACACATGTCGAAATTAAAACGAAAATGGTGGCTGTTCAAACATGATTGCGTTACTCAAACACAAACGAGTAGGTACAATTATTTATCTTGGAAACTTGGGGATGGTAGAAATATCAAAAATGGAATGGGAAAATATGGGCTACGTTTGTTTTRGGTACTTTTGTCCTCCTTTTCAGAGCATATGCCATTTCTTGGGTACTATCTAGAGTGCAAACCATATATCGCTGAAATAGTACTATTTGCAACACGTCCATCTTTTTTTTTTTTTCATTTAAACATATAAATTCTTTAAGTTTACTCCAAGAGCTCTCATTCGAGCTCATCTAGGGAGTTCACTTCCATCTTAGTTGGAAAACGTTAAGCTCAAAGCATATCAAAAAAGGATCTTTGATGGCGTTTCCTTTCTGTTTTCTACCCAGTTTTTAAACAACACCAAATTACTTTGGACAAGATGCTAGGCGTGTTTGCTCTTCTTGGTGTGGGGGTGTTCGTGTCGTTTGTGGTCCTTGCAATGGAGATATTATGGCACAAGAAGAAAGCATCGATCTATTCATTAAGGTATATATTATACTAAGTTGACTGTGCCTCTTCTCTATAAATTTTGAATTTTTTTTATCGAAATGTGGAATCAAACAAACTTGTTATAGTTGGACCAAAAATCAGGTGAATATTGTTCAAGTCATTCTATATAGTGCATTGCCCCATTCATTCGTGAATAAATTTATAAAAGCCGATGAATCTCACTCGGGTGCATCGAGTCATCTGATAAAATCTATAGAAGCTTATTGGTCCGTTGCAGAGGTGGCTTTAAGGATTTTGATTAGAAGGTGCAGTCAACTTTGAGCACTAAGGATGGAAATCATGTGCGATAAATAAATTAACTAGTTGCTCTTTGGGATATAAAATTTATCAGAAGAAATGATAGAGTATTTATAATCGTACCAGTCAGTTCAAATTGGGGCTAATTTCACACTTTCTCTTGTTCAGTTAATTAGCACCAATTGTCTTACTATTCTCATGAGGGAATACAAA